ACCTCACGGTGTTGAAATTTTGTGGCAAGTTCAGACTCCTTGTGACATATTTTGCCACAAAAGGGAGTCCACCCACGGTGTCCCTGTTGATGGACGTTTTCATCCTCGTCTTAAGTCGGGGTTGGATTCTCATGATCCGCTTTTTGTTTGTACCTCCTGGTCCGGGCGAGTCGTTACCAGTCCACCTAACAAGATGTTGAGAATAGGCGTTGTATAAATAAAATTGAATTGAATTGAACAAAATCTGTGACCTGACAACATAATTCCAGAGTGATCTGAGTGTAATCCTAGATTCAAGGGATTTGGGTGTTTTGGCAGCCCTATGGACGAACTGAAAGCAAACCGAAATGGAAATTTTCACAAATATCTCATACGTCTTTCGCGCGACAAAATCATCACGGAAGTAAATATCTAAGAGTTTAGAATCCCGGCTAAACCGCCCGGTAAGTGTTTTGCTTCTTTACACTCTGTTGACAGCGTGAATACGGGCGTCTGCAGAGGTACCACTCACATTTCACTTTGCCTCTTTCTGAGCTATTTTTTCCTCCCATTTCACACATACAGTTACAGTGATTGTAGCACAATGCCGTCGCCGAACACACACTCTGCAGACACAACAGAAGGCTGCAGCTGCTTTTCCTGTTGATTAGCTGCCTTCACTTGTCAATTTAATATCAAATAGATTATTCATGCTGGGTATAGAGATGATTATGGTAAGTCCACGTTCCATCGCTGATGCCTCCTTTTTTGGTGCACTTTGTACGTAACTCTGTCCATTTAAAGTGAGACATTGCACAGACAGCACAAGCAAGGTTCAAGATGAGATTTCTGATCTTGTTGTAGGAGACAAAATGCTGGTTTACCAAGTCACACTAAGCACAAATGTGGAGATTAGGCTGAAAAATGTTAAATGGACAGAGTTCCACAAAAGACAGTTGTCTATGTACAGCGAGTTAGCGTCCATTTTTTGTCACCACATGTCTAGAAATCCAATGTCGACACTGTTTAAGTGGTTTGACAGAGCAAAGTGGATCTAACCTCAGTATAAAACAATATCTACAGCTGTGTCTAAACAGTTACCGCAGCGGTGTCACAACAAGACACACAATGTACAGACACAAGCAGGCAGAAACGCTATACTGACATTCAGACTTGCATGCAAGTAGGCAGGTTGGCAGGAGTAAAAACAGGAACAGCTAGGTATTTATTTGATGATCATAACGATCATACGATCTTTATATTAGACATCTCAGATGGGGGGGGGGACATGTTACTGCAGGTCTAAAGTGGAGTGGTGTCTTTGTGTAAATCATCAGTAACTCAAATGCTCTACAATGGCAGCGTTCAGATCCCCACACCAGTCAAAAGACATTCAACATACTCATCCTCATGTCACGTACCTGCTCGGTGCAGATGAGTTCCGGCATTCTCTGCTGTGTGTCAGCGCTGGAGGACCAACTCTTGCCTGGTCGGGTCAATTCTGACATGACAGATAGAACGGCTTTACACACTTGTGACAATTTGAAAGAAAAATGTGTGAAGAGCAAACGCGAATGCTGAATTTAGGATTTTGTTGGGCCACACTTGGATCACTTTCCTGTGAGAAGGGAGGATTTTAAAAAAGAAGTTCTGTTTTTTTTTTTAAAGCACATGAACACATGAACCCCTCATCAGCTACGTCAATTGCATAACACTTTGAGGTTGACGTGACTTCATAGACACAATTTAACACCAACACTTACTCCTTCGTAGAATTCCCTGCAGCTGCAGTTTGCCGCCTTGCCTCTATTTCATTTCATGAAGTAGTCCACCCCTTCTTGGCTTTGGTTTGACAGACAACGACAGTTATTGCTGGTCCTCAAGTTCCTGCAGGTAACCCAGTTAGGTATTTACATTGATCCACACTCATTCAATCTAAGCTTCTTTCGCAATACCAAAAGGAACAACGGATGGAGCAACGATACGTTCTGCTTTAACTTCAAGAACATGAACACTGACTATGGGTGGATTCCCCTTAAAGAAAAAAAAAAAAAAAAAACGGCTTATAGCAACTTAGGTAGAAGTTGCTTCGCTTTTACAGATGGTTCAGATAGGTTGATTGTTTTTTTCCTTTAATTTCCAGGTTATTCATATTTATCTCTCCTGTCAGTCACACCAACAGCTAGTGGATCATGCCACATAGTTCATAGTTAATGATGTTTTTACCCTTTAAAATCTTTTTTAAAAACCGCTTCGGCAGGCAACCGAACAGCCGCCATTTGCTGCTGCCCCAGAAGGTGCATCGCCCTCCAAGGTCTCCGACCAATGTTGAGGAGCAATCAGAGATCGAAGAAACATTTCACAAGGATGCTCAAAGATAATAAACCGGACCGGTGCTCAGAAACACCCCCGGGAGCTGGGCGGGTTCCTTTAGATGAGGAGGTTAATGCAAGTATCGAACCGTGTGCTAAGCCGTGTGTATTTGAAAGATTGGCTTCTGCGCTGGTCAATGGTACACATGTTTACAAGAGCAGCTAAATCAGGAGTGTGTTATTGGCCCTCTAAACAAAGGAACCACACACACACACACACACACACAGACACACACATCCTGCTGTCTCTTTTATTCTCTCCTTCTCCATTTTGCTTTTTATGTGCAGCTCTGTCTTCTCTGAGTTCTCTATCTCTCTGCTCTCTGTTTGGCTGCAGCGACCAGTTTTCTGTGCAGGCAGCTGCTGTATCAGTCAAACAATCACAGCGATAATAAATCATATTGCCAGTCCCGGCAGTGCAATTCAGTGGCAGACCTGCATATGGATGAAAACACAGCTGGAGCTTTACATCAGTGCAGCAGAAATTGCGGCGTGTGTTGATACGCGAGCGTGCCGTATATTTATTCAGTGCCGTTTAGAGGTGCATGGATGGCTGTCTGTCATTATATATGGCTGCATACGGCCGGTAATGACTGAATAATGCGCTGCTGTGTTTAGGTTCTCTGTATATACTGCATATATATTGCATACTATGCTGTATATTGTGCAATATACTATATGTGTGTGTGTGTGCTGTAGGGCCTGCAATAAGATTCTGGGGCAACATGATGAATTGCTAAGGGCATGATGGGAGTAATAACAGAGAGCAGCAGAAACATTGTTAAACGCAGATCTGTAATTTTCCTATTGTCGAATATCTGTAAATAATCAATAGCAGCTCTCGGCTTCATACATCATGTTTTTCTGTGCCAGAGACGGCCATTAAAACACAGAAATAAACCGCTGGGCGACACGTGACTTGATTCAGTGTCCATAAATGTGGACCTGCAGCTCACTGACTTGCAAAAGAGGGCAATAAAAAAATGCATTATTTGAAACGTTCATATATCTTCTAGAGCATTTCAGTACATTTTCGGAACCATAACAATGAAAGAGGTAAAAGCAAATATGATTAAAATCTAAACAAATGCACAACGTATTGCAGAAAAAGAAAGAATTTAAAGATTTCACTGCAAACCTCAGACAGGAAGCTGCAGATTTCAGGGACTCTGGGAACGTCTGGTCCTCCGAACGCTTAGAAGAGAAAGCAGCACAATTAGCAGAATCACATGATTAACATTCTCTGGTAAATCAGAACTATGTGCAAGTTCACGAAATGCTTTAAAGTTCCTAATATTGGCCAACTTTGTCTTGAACATTTGAGACTTTAAAGACCTCCGGTAGCAGCAAATGTGCTCGGGGCTGAGGACGACAAGATAGGAAGTCCACATGACACTGAATCTGCAGTTAAACCAGGACCCATCCTTTACGATAACGAAATTATCCAACATCACAGAAGCAGCCCTGTTTCGTTATGTCAGACCAGAATAATGGATGTGTGTGTGTGTGCGCCTGGATCGTTTGTGCCAAAGTATTTTAGCTCAAAGGGTTCTTCTCCTCACACGCCAGAACAAAGCACAGAGGGCCCACCGGCCCAACTGGGAAACTGGACAGAAACCTAAACATTTTGTGTAAGTCCGGTGTTAAGTATTTTGCCCCTCCGCCTCTCCAGCGCTAACTAAGTTCTCATGGTAGCATTTTCTCATCATTATCCCGGCACTTTGCTCGGGGGTTGCACCTCTGTTCCCAGCGCAGTCGGCTTATGGATAAGTGTTGTCTGTGTCTCTATTGATGATGCCCTGTGAGCTAACTAGGGCCTGTGAACAGACAGTCTCCCAGCCCGAGTGGATTGGACTGTCCTCTGGGAAACATGTGACTATGCTAAGCTGTTGTTCAACTTAAGTAAATGGGCGAAGGGGAAGACAGAAAGTCTTTGATAGGTGGCATTCCTGTGAAGTGAAAAAAAAAAAAAAGAAGAAGCTGTTTTGCATTCCAGTTCTGACCTTGCATTATTGACATTGGATTTTTGTTTTGAAGATTAACACTAATAGGAAGATAAAGAAAAGGTTACGCGAGGCCGGCTTACGATCTTGTTCCCTGTAAGCCAGAATGTAGCCTCAAGATAGTAGCTCAATACGAAGCAACCTCAGCTCAATCCTCCCGCCTGAAGCTCGCAAGAACATCTAGAAATTATTTATTATCACCCAGCTCCAATGATTTGTGTGTTCAAATTTGGCTTCACCTTCTCTGCCAGATTTGACCTCCTAGAATAACATAAAGCGCCTTTTTGTTTTTTTTTTTCTTTCGCTCCCCTTTCGGAAGTCGATGCACATCAGCTGCAGGTCCTCCATCTACGTACAGTCACCTCCGAGTAATGGAGGAAAGTCAAGAATGGAAGTAATTGATTCAATTTGAGCACGGTAGTGAGAATTGATCTGTGACTAACGTGCTGTTTATGGTTGTGAAAACGGTGCCGCTCTGACCTGGATTCACTTGTTTTCGCAGCGCAAACCCAACCGTGTGCTTCACCGAGCAAATTATAAGGTGTTTCTCTTCAAATTATCTCAGTGTGATGGTTTAATTCTGCACACAGTCAGTGGAGTACACTGGGCCCATGCATACATAATGAGTTTGAGCATAACCACGAGCTTTACCACACCAGCATTTTCTTTAATTAAAAACGTCATGATTTTTTTCTGCCTTTCAACACAATATATATACATCTCTTGGGTCGTATGAATTCGAATAGTAATTCCAAACAATACAACATATGTACATAACGATGAGTACGATCCGAACCATCATTCGCCAGGCGCCGATAATGGATTTCTGGTCATTTTCAAGTTTGTAGCCTCAGGTTGTGGGACCTGAACACCGAAGTCCTCAGTTGAAAGGTCGACGCTCGGCACATCTGATGTGTTAGCACCCCCCTCAGTTAGAGCACTGTGTTGTCCAGTGTTGCTTTTGCATTTAGCAAGAAAATGCCCTTGTGCATAAGATTAAAAGTACAAAAAAAAAAAAAAGATTAGACAGAATGAATACACTGAAAAACAGACAAAGATAACAGGGACGGTGAGATTCTCATTTCATAACACTCTCGATCCAGTCTTTGAAGTTGGCTACATGTGTGTAGACTGTGTAGAGGTCAGGATTGCACTCGCCTTGGTCATAACCAAAGCTCACCAGTCCCAGGAGTCTCCACAGCCCTTTGCTCTCCCCTTGAACCTGTGTAACACTCAGAGAGGGCTTCTGGTTATTGCTGGAGTGATTCTCGGAGAGGGCAGGGAGGACGAGTATTCCCCCAGTGTCAGAGGGACATATGTTAGATGGGCTATAGTCGGGCTTTTGGCTGGCACAAAGCATATTGTCTGTGACGCTGACCGGCACGCCGTTACGAGCGTACTGCTGCTCACACGGGACGACGTCGGCAAGGTGAACCAGCCCAACCCTTGCTCTCTCATCGAGGCCTAAATTTGAATCGGGCAGCGGAGACCAGCCCGTCACGAGCCCTTGACCGGAGGCAACTATGTCTTCCTGGTATTCTGACAGGCAGATTGGCAGGACTTTTTCTCCAATCCTTGCTTTGTCTAGTAGTTTGATCACAGCTATGTCGGAGTCAAGGATATTGGGGTCGTAGTTTGGATGAACGGCAATGGAAGCCACCTGAAAGAGAAAGAGATGGACTTCATCTACAAGTTTAGCCGAGAACTATCATTTGATTTTAAAAAAAACGATCTACAGTAGTTTACCCTCAGGTGTTGAGGACCTTTACTCTCTCTGTGGTCATCGCGATAGTGCTTCCCCACCACCACCTTTATCGTGGCCGTATCCACGGGATACAACTTGCCCAGCTCTGTCACACAGTGAGCCGCCACCACCAGGCTCCTTTGGTTCACCAGAGCCCCGCTGCAGACCAGTTGCCAGTCGGAAGCTTGATTGTGGCTGCCAGTTCCTGCTGCTCCACCGTCCTTCTTCAGGGACTCTGCCTGGCTGTCTGCCTTGGTCACCTTGGTCGCCGTGCTCTTGGTGGTGCGGCGGTAGATGGCTGCCATCCAGGGCCAGTGAGCCTCTTCCGGCCTCTCTGGGTCAAAGGTCGGATGCTTCCCACACACTGCCAAAGAGGAGGTGACAGGATGAGAGGTGAGACCGTAATCGAGGCGAAGGCAGGGGGAAAACAACACGGGAAAAATTGGATTTACATTGCGACTGTGTCAACATTTAGAGCTGCGGGGCTGTTTTTGAACTGCCTCCGAAGGCTTTTATTTTATCGAGGGATTGTTTGCGAAAATGCAAAGTAGTGCTCATGAATGGAGAAGAAAGAACTGAATCACGAATTTGCACCTTAATCCATCAACATAAACGGATACCTGCTCGACCAAACTTCTACGAAATGAAATTCACTTGAACATCGGCCCCTTTATCAGCTGCTAAAGAATAAATATCAAGACTTAAGACACAGATATAGTCTTCTTACGCTGCATCCTACAAAAACAGCTCCAGTGTTTGTTGACAGTGTCCAGACTTGTTTTATTAATGTTGAAGTGTGAGTTTACAGAACCAACGCCTTTTTTCCAGATTGGTATTAAAGCAGGTTGTTCATGAAGGACGGTCCTTTTTTTTTGTGATTGCTACAAATCTTTTATCCCACAGAGAAGAAAACCACCTATACAGAGTGTAATAAAGAACTTGAAGAGTCTTTCTCCTTGAGTGAATAGTCCTGAGGATAAAAGGCTCCAAGTGCACAGTTCTGTTTGAAAGAAGACGAAGGAAACCGTTGGTGCTATGTGCTATCAGACTTCTTGTAATGTGATTACTTACCTGTACAGTGTGTGCAGTATTATTAGTTCACTGAAACACTGTGAGTGTAAAAACATGTTAAATAACCAATAAATATGCTGTTTATGTTTCCCTGCTGCCTTCAGACTAAACATGAGTCAACAGAACTTAACTTCGGCATCATCTTATGGGTTAAAAATGCAAAATAAACTGAGTTAGTCAACTGTGTAGTCTTTCACACAGACTTTCCTTTTAGATTTTCTCAATTTAAGGAGTCTTTTTTTGGCATTAAGGACAATCAGCAACACATTTGAAACCAGTTTATACCGAAGACTGCATGTGAGGCTGCTTCCAGTTACGTTGTTGTAAAAGAACAGGCAAAGGCTGAATTCAATACCAAACTCCCATTATGTTTGCTTTCATTATTATGTAAAGAAACGACCAGGATTTAACACATCTTAAAAGACCAACAGTAAATTTTCCCTGTGAATGGCTTCTTTGAGCCTAAAAAGAGGAGTCTCGCTGGAGTTTTAACTCTCCAACAATGCCCGACTAGTTTTGGTTCTTTTGAAATTTATTGAGCTGATTAAACTCACAGCTGTAGATTAATTCAACTCATTATTTCAAGTCAAAGAACCTCAAATCAGACAACTAATGATGATACGTTCTAAAATAGCTAAAAAAAATTGGATATTTTAGGTTGAATTGACTCGAAATGAACAAAAGCAGCTGTGTTTGTGTTGAGTTAACAAGAAAGGATTTCTGAATCCCAGTGCAGGAAGGCTTAATATGAACGGATCTATACTGCAACAAGTCCTTTGTATCTTCATTTAACGCCAAATAAATGATGTACAAACAGGACTATTATGTTTAAACTCATCCTTAAGAGCACCTTTAAGTCTAACTGCATTTATATACGATGTGGTTGTTGTTGCTGAAATTGACAAAAGAAGATACCCAGTTGTTATACATTTGATTACAGCCTTGAGGAAGCCCTCTTTAATCAAAGATGCTTTTCAAACTCCCTTTGCATCCATCTCATTGCTCAGCCGCACATGCCAGCTAATGGCATTTAGCTTCTCTGGGAACTTTCACTGTGTAGTAAAGAAAAGCCCACGGCCGACAGGAATGCCTCAGAGATGTGTGAAGAAGCTGACGAGGTATTGCTCAAAGCCAGCAACGAGAAGCAATGATTATATTTTTAGAAAGTGCTGCTGCGTGTGCTCCTAGCGTTAATATTGCTTCATTAGACAAATGGCTATCAAGACACCACGTCTGAGTGGCCGCGTAGTAATTTTGCGTCTGGATAAGATTGCTGATGTGTGGGTGTGTAAATCACGGCAATAAAACGGTCGGACGACTCGCTGTCCTCTGCTGCCCTCACCTGGCGAACAGGACACATGGCGCCCGCTCCACTTCCCCGTCTTCAAGCAAGTGCGACGAGGACTGCCGGAGTGGTGGTAGTACGCAGACGCACACTCGTACTCTATGTGTGTGTATAGGTGGTGGAAGCCCTGGGGCAACTGGGAAAGCTGCGGGGGGCTTTTGGTGGGGCCGTCGGACTGGAGCTGTCGGCCCAGCGAGGAGGAGTAGAGCTTGTACACAGGTGTCTTTCTGAAGGGAAAAAGAAAAGAGCCAAGTGTATGTAGTCATAAGGCCAAGGGTTAAGTAAACACTTTAGAATGTGAAAAATGTATTGCATGACCTCAGAAATAACACTTTCAATTCATCCGTCACTTCATAGCATAATACCACAGAGTCTATAGTGCCTGTGGGTGTCATTTATTTAATGCAAACTGCCTTCCATGTTATATGCTGCATGAAAAATCATACCTGAGTGGTGCTTGAGGAGGCAAAACTCTTTGTCTGACCAGCTCTGACACTTTGGGCTCTCGACACGCTGCAAAATAAAATCCATATTTACAGTATGAATGCACATTCACAGCACATACAATACACCGAGGCCCCATTGACATGTGCTGTGATTTGAATGGAGTAACTGGAACGGTGATTTGATTTGCCCTGATTCAGTCTTTGTGCTACGCCGCATGTAAGCCAGCTGGCTGTAGTTTTATGTTAACAAAGAGACGTGAGTGCGGCATTGATCACGGCCATTTAACTCTCAGCCAGACGTAAGAAAAGGATCACTTCCCCCCAAAAAATGGCAAACTGTCTTTAAAGAAATAATTAATCGTTTTTTTTTTTCTTTTTTTTTAAACTTACAACAGTGGGAGAAAAAAAAACACTAATAAGGACAACTTGCCTAGTTGTTTAATTCATCAGGAAAATCGGGCCAGTGAACAATTTCACCACTTACCTCTTGGCAAAGAGCTGCAGAGCATCCAGGCCAAAATCCACTAAGAACTAATTAATATTTATAGCTCCAGGCTTGATGGATTATTTTAGCGCCAGGATCCTTTACTCACTAACATTTAGCATTTTTTTCTTAGAACCATTTAATTACTAGCCCATATATCTACCTTTATAGCTTGATAGCCTGGTATAAAGTGAGAAACCCATAACCCTTTATTACTAATTAATAATCTCGCAGTAAAATGCAGAATATGCCGATCCTTCAGTCTGTCTGAAAACATACTATATTAGACACTTGTGCCTTCTTACCTCGGCAGTAACAAACAAAAATGCTTCACAGGTCTCCAAACAGCTAAATTATCATCATTTAATTGCTTTTACAAACAGGGATGATGGTACCTCTGACACAGACAGGTTGTTTGCCGCTCCACGTGCCGTCCGGCTGGCAGGTACGTCGGCTGTCACCGCTGAGAGCGTACGAGTGGTTGCACTTGAACTCCACCGTCTCCGGCTCCAGCCCTGGCACCACCTGCTGGTAGCCGTGATAGAGGCGAGGCAGAGGTGGGCAGCTTTTCTCTGGAGGAGGGAAGCGAGCAGCGAGTGAGGTTGAAGGCCAAGAAGTAGGAGGATAATATTCAGTTTTGTGTTGTTTTTTAACGAGTCTCTTACCAGTAAAGCTTTGGTTGACCTCTCTCTCCTTTTCTCTCTCCTTTTCTTTTTCTTTCTCCTCCCTCTCCTTTTCCAACTCCTCCTTTGTTTTCTCCACCGACTCCTTCTCCGTCTGGTCCTTTTTAGTTGTTTTTTCCTTTGGTTTCCCGTTATCCTCGACCGCTCTGTACATGGTGTACTGCGTAACGTTGACTCGGGTGGGGATGATTTTCCTCCCTGGCGTTGGCGATTCTATGGTGTTGTTTTCTTTTGGTGTGTCCACGATATCGTACGTCACTGTGCTGTTGGTCTTCGTCATTCCCAGCTCAAATATCTCCACTGTGTTTTCTCCCTCAGATATGACCGTCCTCAGCTTGGTGTCATTAGGACCCACTTTGTCTGGATCTCTTTTTCCGTTCACCTGCTCCTCTTTTCTTTCCTTCTCTTCTTGTCCTTTATCTTTTATCACAACTATTTCTGTGATGTCAGTCTTCCCCGTCTCCAGGTTTGTGTCTAAACTGTCTTCTTTTTTCTCAGGTGGCTTTGGTACCTCTGGTTCTTTCTTTTCATCTGTGTGCAGGCTGTTATCTGGGTCTTCACTATCCACTTTATCTTCCGTGCCTTCAGTAGGTTTCTCTGACCCAGTATCTCTTTCCTCTGGCTCTCCTTCATTCCCACCCTCAGGCAGAGTTTTCTCTGGAATCGTCCCAGTATATTTATCTTCAGTGTCGACTGCTGTTGTATTCTCCTGCCCAGTGTTTATATCTTTCCCTGCAACACTTTCTTTTAGTCCAGTTGTGTTCTCTTGGTCTTTCTCTTTGGTTTTGCCGACATCCTTTTCACTGTATATATCTATTTCCTTGCCTCTTTCCGTCTCTTTAGCTTTGTCTTTGTCTTTCTCCACTTCAGTGAGAGTGTTATTCACTGTGGAGAAAAAAAAACATAGAAAAGATCATTACTGAACTATCTCTTAGCAGCTGATTGGAATTTGCTCGGTTCAAAATTGGCTCAGTATGCTCGATGAGTGCTTTAAACACTGACTCATTTTCTTTGAGCTGTTATCCAACAAAAGCTGAGTGAACTATTTGCAGTGACTCATCCATTTTGTGTCTAGTCTTCATTATTTAAAGACGTTTTCTCCGACCTTTAGTGCAAACAGGAGGAGTCCCGCTCCAGGTGTTGTTAGGAAGGCAGGTTCTCTGGGAGCCTCCACTGAGTTCATAGGGCTGGTGGCACAGGTACTGCAGAGCAATGAGGACATCATTGGGTCCATAAACCAAGAAGTGGTCCCCATGTGTTGGCTTCGGTGGCAGAGCACAGACTCTTTCCACTGGCACTGAAGACAGGAAAGAAACTTTTAAAAGCTGCAAATCTGCCTTTTTTTCAAGATCCGCTCCATCTCCGAGGCGGCATGCACGGCATCCAGAGACAAGCAAATTACACACATACGACCTTTTCAGATCCAAAAGTGTAATTATTTGGGTGAAAAACACGACTCAGATTATTATCTCACCACACTCCGGGGCAGGCGCACTCCAGGTGCCATCTCTCAGGCAGATGGCAGTACGAAACCCCCGCAGCTCGAAACCGGGGTCGCAACGGAAAGTGATGCGCGCACCAGAATGGTGAAACAGACCCTCTGTAGATCCATGGGTGGGCACCGGAGGCCTGCGGCATCCCACCACTGAATGAAAATACAGACAGGCATAGTTTATTTATGGACACATGCTGTTTTTTCCCCCCTTTTACTTACACAGATCATCTAAACAAAATTACAACGCATCAAGGATTTAGGAGGCATCTCTAGCATACCTCGAAAATCGGTTTATTGCACCTCCATGCTGTAAAAGACCACACAGACAGACCTTCAGTGAGATAATTGCCATCTGGCATTTGCAGGTCAGACAGGTAGTCAACAAACCGAAGCCTTAAATGACTCACTACCCACAATTCCCAGGGGACCGGAGGATTTAAAAGCATAATCTGCCTTCCTTAGAAGCTTGTTAATGAATAATTTCACCCATCACGGTAAAGTGCGAACAGTTCACAACAAGGCTTTAACACAAGGCTTGTAAATGAGGAAGAAATAGATGCAATAAAAGAGCTTTAGTCAAACTGTTCAATTTTCCAGTGCCGTAAAAGAAGATTTTACAATGTGGGCTAGTAGAGATTGGTAATGTCTGTTATGTAACAACCGACTGCAAAGCAAAACTTGCATTATATATCTTGTATTTGTGTATTAAAAGCAAACTGCGAATGTGCACACAAATGTCGAGATAAAAGCCTTCACTACCCACATGTGGGTTTACAAAACACACATGTTAACACTACAGCTATCGTACCATTACAGCACTCTCTGTGAGATGATCCCTCCAGAGATTTTCAGTGTTGTTGACTTTAAGTGGGATCAGATCCATGAAATGCACTGTCTGTGGTTTTATAGCTCAAAACCCAGGAACCCACCCTATAATCTGGGCGTTTTTGCCTCGGGGCATTTCCAACCTTCGGTCTTTTAGGGGATGTAGAATGTTGTTGGCCGACCAGAAGTGGAAAAGTAAACTGCAGTTGACCTCTTTTTGAATATGCATAAAAAAAAGGTGCTGCGGGCATCGTTGTTCCACTGCCAAATGATGGAGCTTTCATGTCAGGTTGTGTCGACAGACGTAATGAAATCAACGTGGAGTCATTAGGGCGGAATGCTAACATACATAACGGCACATTCTGCGAGTAAATCATCATTCCTTTCATTAACGCTTTGGAAACTCGGTCGGACACTGCACTCCAAAACAGATTAGACTCAAGAAAAGATTAAACTGTGCCAGACAGAGAAAAGAAAAGGGAGCGAATGCATTTCCCATCATGAGTTTCTATGATAATGTGTCACATTCTCTCATATGCAGAATGAGTTTTAGCTTCGGCTCGCGACAGATGACAAGCTGATTATTAGAGGCATAAAATATGGCTGATGTCAGGTTCATACTTAACATTCTCCGTCTGACTCTGAGGCAGAACTGTAGATTACATTTCCTCTACAAAATGTGAGACATTAGCGTCATTCCAGCTCACTGCCATTAAAATTAACAGCTGAGGAATACTCCTGGGAATACAGATGAATGCGCACTGGGTGGAATGAAACTATTGCCCTTTTTTTTTTATGGATGTCTCCTCCATGGAAACGCTGGCTCTTGTTATAGAAGTAGAATTGTTTCACCATTAGTTTTATAGACTTGAATTTAGCCCTGAAAAACAACACCACAAGAAGAAAAGAAAAAAGTTCAGGAAGTCTGTTTTTGCAGGATCTTAAGGGAGGTGTATCGGGTAGAAAAACACAACTTAGGGTCCAGACGTCCATAAATAAAAGACTTTGTAGGGCAGAGTGACTCGAACCACACTCCACGAGGGGAGCGGTACCCCACGTGAAGAAGGGGGCCACACAGATTTAAGGTGGTATCTTCAGACACCAAAATAGCTCGCTGACATTACCCAACTCTGAAATAGAGCATTTTTTGTCCACCTCCACCTTTTACTTTCTTTCCTCAGTCAGATTCAGCCCTCCACCTTATTTATCTTTCCACAGCAGCATTACTTTTTTTTTTTTTTTTGGCTCACAGCTGCACAATTTTGAACATATTAGGTTTGATGGTCAGTCAGTTTTTGCAAGACCTCTATTAAAATTTAATTTATATTTCTTGAAAACCACAGATGCAACTCACAATGGCCGGGGAAGGCAGCTGGCCTGAACTCAGTCCAGACCACTAACCTTTCCCTTGTGACAGTGAATCACTGGCTGCTTCAATTTCAGATTAATTTGCTGTAACTAGGTGTGTCTCAACTCAGATGAATATTACTAATATGACTCTGGGATGTCGTAAGTGTCAGTACAGTCTTTTAGAAGTTATGACTGAGTATTCTGCGGAGACTGGTTATTTCTTTAACGTGATTAGAACTTGCATTTACCCCTTTTAAATGTTCCCAAAAACATAAATTGTCATTACGATCATACGGTTGAGACTTGAGTTATGCTTACTGACTCACCATTTTCACACCGCTTGCCCGTGTAGCCAGCCAGACAGGCGCAGTGGTAAGTATAAGAGCTGTCCAGGATGCAAGTCCCATCATGCAGACAAGGAGAGGAGCTGCAAGCTGTAAACATATAGTGTTTGGACATTAGTGTACAAATAGGAACACTGACTGCGTTACCAGTATTTTAAAGCACTGTAAGTACGTTAAAGGGCACGGCCGTCCACATCAGGTGACATCAAGGGATTCATTTTCAAAGCTGTTTAAATGTCACGCTTGTTTTCATTTCAAATATTTGTATGGGTATTTAAACACAAAAAGCCTCTGTTTGCTTTTACTAGATTTGGCTCAGCCGCTGGTAACTTACGTGCACTTGTGTGTGTGTCTGCTTTTGACTTCTAGAGAATGAGGACATTTCTGGTAAGTGAGGACATTTCGGCTTCTCTGTTCGCGGGCTCAACACCCTGAAGAAGGGCCTTTGCCGAAACGTGTAGGTACCAGTCATGCACTATTAAAGGCTTTTTATTATGCACTGGGGCCTGAATGCCATGGAAACTTCTTTCGTGTTTGCATTTGTTGTGGCCCGCGACTCCAAAGAGCGCCTTTGTTCGTCGAGTGTGACATTACACATGAGTTTTTTATTTGTTGGGTATGAAACGAGGACAGTTCACCATTACGGAATTAGGATTTGGTTTAGGTTAGACGATTCTCTCGGAGCTTTGGGGGCGTATTAGGTGCGTTCAAAGTAAATTACAGTTATTTGTTGCTGCAGTAGTAGCAGCAGCGTATTGTTTTTCTTGTTAAATTACATGCCTGAGTTCTCCTGAAAAGTGGCGAAGAATCCATCAAAATTCTTGTAACCGTCAGACACAAAGAGAATGTGCAAACTGTTGCCAGAGCTTTGAACCGGGGCAGGTCTGCTGTTCCCGCAGAATCTACCGATGACACGGGACCTGATGCTGTCCCCGTCGCGGACCTCCACGTAGTCGTAATGACAGGATTGGTGAAACTCCAGACTCAGCATCATAAACCTGTAAGCACAAAAAAAATAAAATAAATTAACAAAAAGCAAGTTTTCAAAATAAAATTCCACAAAAATGTGCAATACAAAACTGGAAATTATCGTTTGCTGTTCACTACTGTCACCTTGGAGCCTTTCATGGATGTGATGAAAGTAAACAAGTTCTTTTTTTTTCTTTTTTTTGTTGCTTCAACAGGTTTTGTTGTGGTTTTCAGGGTAGTTGTGTGTTTTTCCTGGCTCATGTGTTCCCTGGCAGTGCCACAACAGCTGGCATCACTGCAGTGAGCCTTTTAAAATCTTCAGCCAACAAGTAAGTAACGTACAGTAATGATAACCACTGAGCACATTAACAGCTGCTGAGAGTGATTTGAACCACTTTTACGTGCCTTGCTGCTCTTAAAGGTTGTGGGTTTTTCTTTTTTTTTTCTTCATGTTTTGTTTTTAGGTGCAACACATCCTAATAAAAAGATCGCTCGCAGCCGTAAAGATTAATGTACAGCGGTTACCGGAGACCACGACGAAGACAGGCGTAGGAAAGTGAGACCGCATTATTACTCTGTACCTACTTTGCATCTACATTATGGAAGCTAAGAAGTCGCACTGCATAAGTGAGATAAAGCAGAGTCACTGTTGACACTTGGCTGCAACACAGAAACCAAAAACAGATGAATATCACTAGCTTTGTGGTCTGGGGAAGCTTTGGGAACTTCTTAAGAATTTTTTCCACCCTATTTACTGGATTGTTTATCATTAAGAGTCATTATGTGCCCATTAAACAGCTAAAGTGCACATATAGATGCTATTATATCATTACGATTGGCAGTAAGTACTGTTAATAAACAGAATCACACATTCCAGTCTGAATAAACATGTAGTTACTTCAGAGCTGTAAAACGGACATAAAATTCATCTATGAATGCTGAATAAACATGCGACTGCACAATATTACTCCCAGAACATCTCCTCTGTGCCGCTGAGGGAGTGCCTTCAGGTTCACATGCGAATTAAAATGACTATAATGGTGACAACTTTATATCCACTTTCAGTTCGCAGCTGTTTGGTTCAGTCAGAGTGTGACTTTGAGAGGTCCGCCAGCTGGATTAGGAAAAACACGGAGGACTCATTCCCCTTTTTAGTGATTTCCGATGTAATCTTCTTGGCGTAACACTGGAACGGACACGAAGCACTGATGAGCTTCATACAAGACACTGGCGTGCTCCCAAATCCTTTAATTTCATCCTTTATCACATCGCCTTGGGTCAAGGAAGCTTAGACTAATGAGCTATACGGTAATGCTAAATGTTAGCCTGCAGCGTCTCCCAAGAATTAATGCCAGTTGTGTTTCATTAAATGCATTGCCTGTGATGTGAACGTACTGCAAGCCACCGCAGTTAAAGGAAAACATTGCTGGTAAATCCCTAAATCACCTAGGCACAATATGCACTCTCCATCCGTTTTGTTGGATTTATGTCAAAAACTAAATATATAAAAACGTGACATTGGCGTTTCCTTTGCTTGCATTTGGCTGCAGAACGATTTTGGCCCTGAAGGATATGTATATCACATTCATCACGGTGGTAAAGTTTAATGAGGAGGAGGAGGAGGAGGGGAAAAAAAAAAAAAAGAAAAGGCTTGTAATCATTAAATATCTTTTCTTCACACGATAAAGTGGGACTGTACAGACTGCGTGGTCAGCCTGAATCGAGCTGTATGGAGCTTTTGTTCTACTAAAACCCTGCACAAATGCTCGCCTGTAAAAAATGGCGTAATGGAGAAACTGACAGAAAGAGAAAGTTATCTCAGTACTGAAAAGTAATAACTTATCTGAAAAAAAAAGGGACTGTTATGGTTTCCAAACTCTGCTGTAAACTTGCCATCAGACTATGACATACATCTTGCAGAAATATCTAAACTGAGTGGAAATTTGACTGAAGCAGGCCAGTGGTTAATAACTATTACAGATGGACAATGAAGATCCCAACAACTGAGGCTTCAGCGTCCTATGAAATTGTCACTTTATTAACTGAAAGGTTTTCCTATAGTCATTAGTTTCCAACCCTCACAACTTTATTAGTAAACTGTGGCTGTTATATTCCAATCAAGTATCCTTTGTTCACTTGCTGGCTGGTGTGTAACTTTACGGGCGTTTCCATGGTTTTATGAGGGTTTAGAAAGTAGCTCAGATGAAAACCGTCCAAAGTGGAGAGTCTGAGGATTTTTCGGGATAAGTAGGTCACTGTTTCTGAATATACAACTTTTGCTGTTGAGTCTTTAAATGTAATTTTTAGCCGTGGTAGCGGAGTGACTCTCGGAGTAGGAATGTCGGTCTGCGTGCAGGTCGGTCGGTCCAACAATCGGGTCCGGACTGAGATATATCAACACCTATTGAATGGATTGCCTTGAAACTTTCCACACACATTATGATCTCTGATTTCACCAAGTCCAGTACTTTGGTTTGTGATGAAATACCTGAAAAATTGCATTTTTTATTAGCGTCACCTTCCTAAGCTATAATTGTGACCATTGTAAACATCACTCTGAGCGTGTTAGCTCAAAACGCTGCTGTGCCTCAGTGCAGTCAGGACCACCAGCATGGCTACTGCAGACTTGTAGGCATGTTTGAAATCGCAGCATGCAGCGTCACGCTTTGAGGCAAATCAATTGATATAAACCGGCATAACATAACTGATAGTACCTCTTCCAAATTGGCTCTGATGACTCCTCACTAGGTAAATGAGGATCCTTACACAACGCTTATGATCTCACCTGAGCTCTATGGTAAACGGCCTGTCCACCTGTATGGTCCACTCACACCTGGCGTTGTTGGGGTAGCTCTCCAGCACCATGTGGCCCTGCCGTTTACGGATCACTCCCCCGCACTCTGAAAGACACAGAAATCCAGTTTCAGAAAGTTCAAACTGGGTTTGCTACCTCAGCTACAGCTTAATTATTATTTGGAGGGTTCACACAGAGCTGTTTTGGTTACCATTCAAACCAGCAGTAATTGCATTCCGGTTTTCAAAGCCTCTGCAGAAGCCCTGTTTTTGCGCAGCAACATAAAGAAGGATAAACACAAAACACACGGGGGCCAACAAAGGCAGTCTTTCCAGGTCTCTGCTTTTAATTAAACGTATGCTTGTAATGTCCCTTGGTGGGATATTTGCATTTAAAAGCCGGTGTCAGTGTCCAAATGTTACATAATAAGTCGTTTTACGGGATTCTTAATTGTTGACTCTGACTTGTCATTCAGCTCTCATGGAAAACCTCCTGGGTACATGGCTGCCTTCCAAGTTGGCATAGTTGTCTCAGATGAAGATAAATTAGAGGGGAAGGAAAGAACATATAGTACATGGTATGCATTTCCCCTATAGAAAAACAAATCATTTACAGCAAATCCATGTAGGATCCGCTAATTGGCAGAATGAAAAGACTTACTCATGCAGTCTCCGCCAGACCAGCCAGGCCGACACTCCGCGCAGTATTGGCCACTAATGAAGAAGTCATCCCTGGGGCCCCATGTGCCGTTGTTGCATCGCTTACAGTTCTCGAATATACTGCAACCTGAGAGAAACACAGTCAGAAGCAAAGTTATGGTAAAGTAGGAGTCGCACAGAAAGGCCAGAATATAAAGACTTCAAAGAATTTACGATAAATCTCTCGGAGGAGTTGTCATTGTTTATAAGAATAGGGAACATTTTATCTAAACAGCAGGAGCTATGAGACCAATCTCCAAATGTTTCCTTTGCATCAACTCTGCTGAAGTAATTAAGCTCATCTTTCACGGCAATAAAGCGGAAAAACATATCGCGGCTTCTTGAAATAGAAATGTGGAGAAAACCCGTTGAAGTGATTTCCTGGCGGGGTGGATTTTCACTTAGGAGGCTGCACCGTCTGCAGGGAGGTGAAGCGCAACATGCTACCCGAGGACAGGTATGAACTTTAACAACAAACTGGCGCGGGATGTACACATGGAGATTTACGATTGGAAGTTGGACTACATTTTTGTTTAACAGTAAAACGTGATGCACAGGTAACCATTTAATCCTGAACAGCTGCTTTTTTCCCCCCATAAAGGAAAACATGAGCACATTCAAGCTGTGAGGAAAACACAACATTCTTCTATAGGTGAACGACATGTAGGAAAAGTCTGCAGCACATGCACTCGGAGATGCCCACGTGATCGTGTCCTCACGCGCATGCTTTCCTTACAAAGACGGCAATGTGCACATCGCTGAGCGTAAACGGATCGACTCCCGTTTCATTCACAAATTAAGGTTCCAAGTGCGATCATTCACTCGTGCACCATGCCAGTTCAAGAGGATACTGCCAACCGAGTCAAGAGAGGGAGCCAATGTGAAGCAATTTCGAATAGACACAAATACAGAAGTTATTTTCAGTCTCTCGGCCACACTGTTTGCCATGCTGCAAAGCAAGCAGCTGTGCAGCTGATAGACAGCATTTGTTTTTGCACAAACACCATGGCAGACATTCAAGATGGACCCAGTTCTTGTAGGCAGACTCAACAGACTTTATGAAGACAGTGCTCAGTGTTGAATCAAGAGAAACACTGCAGCAAGATCTCATTAAGCTCAAGTAATTACATTCATATTCATAGTACCTGGATGGATAATGCAGGGGTCGCACTCGTTGATGGCGTTGCGGCAGCAGGGCACTGCGTAGCCCACCTTAGTCCCCTGGATGGGGCACTTGCAGCGGATCACGTCATACTCGCAGCAGCCTCGGCACATCACGTTCCACTCTGGACCTGGACAGTGGTTGTACAAGTATCTGTAATCTAAAGGAGACGATATGTCAGGGTCGGCAACTCAGCAGCATCCTTCAGACAAGAAAAGCAAGAGAGAAATTCTTTATGTAACCATCATTTCATGGGCAAAACAGACGTGAAGATGAGTCAAACACAGAGAGAGAGCACGGCTAACGTAATGGTTGGCCTTGTGGAAAAATGTGAGCAAACACGGGTTATGGTCAGCAGTGAAGAGAGCAGAGTGGAAGGAGCTCAGTGTTTATCTGCTGCTCTGCACTGCCTCTTTGGTTATTTCCACTGCCATATGGTTGCAAGTTCCTTTTAAGGAAAACCGCAAAACTCCCAGTAGTTTACCTCCTCTGTGTGTGTTGTTACGTCAGACAACATGCCACAACGGTAAAGTCACTGTCACGGAAAACAGAATCGAATCCTTAATCAGAAAGCGCTTTATGAACCCAATGTAAACAATGGCCTTCTCCTTTGTTTTTTTTTTACCCGACAAATATGATGTTTAATTGGATTGGAAACCAGTGATTCAAAGACCTTTGAGCCTCAGTGGCTGCGATTACATAACAGTGGATTCTAAAGCTAAAACAGACAAGTGGAAATTCTCTTGTAGCAGATGTGGACAGAGAACTAACAGAAGCTGCACTTTAGAATTGGCACGATGTCCATGCGACATTCTGCACCTCCTCTTAGCTCTGCAGTCATAATTACTTAATTCTCCTCAACGAAAGACTTCTTTATTTACGAAGCTGTAGCTGCACACTAGGGTATTAAGAGTTTTGTGAAAGAAGGACTTTAACGCACAGACAGAGACAAATGCACTGATACAAAAGCAACAACTCCGAGAGATTAATCTGTTAGTGGTGGACGGTCAAACAGAGAGGAGAAGCGCAGATGTCTTGGAATGCTATGAGCCGTCCCTCCTGCCCTTCCACATTAATGATATCATAAATTGTGTCTATGTCCAGCTACAGTCTGGCCTTCTGTTCAGCTGTTTCTCCGAGAAGAGGTATGGCATACATACCGACATTAATCAAACAGAAATTTGTGCAATGCCACCAGGTCGGTCTTAATGGAGGGTTTTTAAGGACAGAGTTTGAGCATTACAGAGCTTTTGCCATATTTTGGCTGTTTTACGATTCTTGTCTGTCTCTGGGGGTCGTGGGCTCAGCTGGATTTGTGAATCAACCGCGAAAGCACGTAGAGAAAACCTGTGAGCACAACTGTGCTGGATCTCCTGACCCAGATAGTGTCAGTCAAAATAAGTCGGACTGCTGGGCTCATAAAGCGACAACAATCCTTCGCACAATGCTTCTGCTCACACTAAGCACCAGCCAGAGCTGTTTGTGGTAAAAATGAAAGTACACTTACAGCCCCTCAACTGTGTTTTCAATCAAAGCCGGCGGTCGTGCATTGTTGTTTTTTATTCTTTGTTGTTTTTTTTTTTTTACTTGGTCCATCGCTCTGACACGAAAGAACAGAGAGAGCCTCATAGTTTGTGCTCATATTGTCATTTTTGTGGATTTTGTTAGACCAAGTGTGAGAACCACAAACATCCGTGGCATGAGGATGGTCTGCATGTTCAGAGAGATGTGCGTGGAGACAAAGACATGTTGCAAAGACGGGGATTATGCACATTATTAAATGCACATTATGGCAGTGGCATACAAAGTCAGAACATGTGTTGTATTAGAATTGTACTCGAGATCCTTTTCAATATATTGTAGTAAACCCAACTCAAAATACTAACATAGAAAGTCAAGTTCATGTTTTTTGGAGTAGAACAGTTATTTAGCTCAGACACCCTAACAAGGATCAAAACTGACAGAGCAGAACTAGAGGTATCATCTTGTAGTCTTCTTTTTTTTTTGCCAAAAACCGCCACCAGCATTTTTCATGATTGCCTAGAGTTTGGTCAGAGATCGGGGTGTCGTATGGTAAGGCAGCTAATTCAGCCTGGAGCTGCTAGCCTTAAGCAGAGACGAGGAACAGGCTTTAGAGGTCTAGCAAGCTGACTTTGTGTTAACTCTTCACCCCTAGATATTTTTCATTTTCTTATTTTCAATAAAAATAACGATGTGTCTGCACATGTTTTCTCCAGGTGCTCCAGCTTCCTTCCTTCCTTCTAAAGCCCAAAGACATGCATGGAAAGTTAACTGATTATTCTAAATTAGTCATAGAGTCTTGTTTTTCTCCCTCTGCCAACGTGACTGTAAGAATGCACGGTTGACTGTAGGTTTGTATTAGTCACAACCTGTCCAGGAGGGACGTCGCCTCTCGCCCAGCGTCAGCTAAGACAGGCTCAAACCCCCGAGACCCGAAAGTTGGTGAAGCAAATTGATGACTGGATGGAAGGATGGTTATTGGTGATCCTTAACTGGCCATCGTTGTAAATTTATGCTTGTCTGACATGTCTGTGAAGACTCTCAGTCATCCAGGTCATGGTTATTCTCGTAGCAGCTGGACTTGCTTCAGTTCCTTGAAGACGTTTCACCTCTCATCCAAGAGGCTCCATTACTTCTGACTGACTAGTTGGGAGTTCCAGGTACTTATATTCTCTAGGAGCCATTGAGTTTCTAGTCAGTCGAAACGTCTTCAAGAAACTCAAGCAAGTCCAGTCGCTACGATCCAACTACGAGAATATGCTTGTCTGAATCTTAGCCTTGTGGTGAACTGATGACCTGCTTTGGATGTTCCCCACCTCGCCGGCTCTGTCCTCCGTAACGGAAACGACAACAAAACCACAAGATTAGGATCAAGTTATGTATTGACTCTGCTAATTGTTTCCTTAAAGTAGTCTGGTCTGCTTTCACCTACATACACCCTAATGCACTAAAGCAACTGTGTTACTCGCCAAAACAATTCAGCCTTTTAGCCGCTGCCATTAGGGGCCCCGCAACAACAAACACTCCGAGATGAAAACTGCTTAAAAGGTGTGATGCCTGCCACAGAGGGATTAAGAGGTCTTGACACCATCACCGCCTCTTAAGGGGGAAAGCTTTTCTACTTCCTCACTAAAGATGCTGGCCAGAGAGTCTGTGAAAGCTGATTTATGGGACATAAACACAAAAGGGGTCAAAAGACTTTATGAGTTGGCCTGGTAATGTCATTACATGGATCACCGCTGTGTGACTTCCCCTTCGATATAGAAAGGCAATCCTACTTATATCTACCCTCAGTGCATTTATACTGGAAAACCCTCATTTATGACGGAATGAAAGAGAACAGTATAGGCTGCTATTTGTTTAAGAAAGGCTGGAAATTCTTCCGCTGCCTCGCCTCTGACAGTCCAGTGACATCAAAGTACGCGCCTTTTATGATAGGATTAGTTTCCAGATTTCCATAAGCTGTTTTCCTAATGCTCCTACTTGAGGTAAATAAACCCAGGCAGCGGCGTTTGCAGTGTTTATGCGCTGCGAACGGATTCAGTTTGCTGACCTCCAGCTCTGTCGATAAGACGGCTCTGATTTTCTCTGCAGCATGACTCCAAGGTTTCTCCCCCGGAGTTGAACACATGCTGGAATGCATCTGTATTTATGTGGACGGCTATCCCCCCCACCCCACCACCACCCTCCTTCCTTAATAAGTGTTTACTGAAGATCATTTTTACATAACTGTGCTTTGGACTGCACCCCGGCGATTTGAATTCACTCATTCCACCAATGAGCTTACTGCCTTGTAAAAAAAAATACATCTGCGAGGCTTCCAAGCGAACACCTGCAGGTAATACAGACTTAACAGTTTCATGTGGATGTTTGCAGCAATTTAGGAAGGGCTTGAGCAGGTGTGGAAGTGCACATGCACAAAGGTCTGCATGCCTGACTGAGTGTTGGACGTTTAAAATGATATCATACCTTCCTTTCAACCCAACGCTGTATTGAAGTGTATTATGCAAATACAGACGCTGACGACAACAACAAAAAAAAGCACGAAGAAATGCAAGAACATGCAAAGACCTCTATAATTTAACCCAAGACTGCGGTTGTACAATGTGCCCCTGGCTAACATGCATTTAATCACAAACTGGAAGTGTTGACAGTTGTCAGAGAGGTACTGTAACTGGAAAGACATTCATCTGATAACAAAGTTTGCTTCTCCCCCCCTGTGCCTCATGGCTGTCTAGCACCATTTCCATCTGATATTTATGTGTTTTGGTATGTCTGATGATGTCTACATATTTCCCCTGTGCAAACATACCTAGTGTTGTGTGTATGTGAGAAAATAGTGGCGTCAAGCCAGAGAAGCACATTTTAACAGCAGATCACCAATGTGTTTTTCCCCCTCCTCCTCCTCTCAGCTTTGTAGCTAAGTGTGTAGATTGTTGTGTGGGTTGTTTGGCTTTTCCCATTTTACGTAAGTGATATTTGCTTTTTCCATGCCAGATGTTCAATACCTAAATGCAACATGTACGTCCAGAAGCCATAGAAATGAAAATAGCGATGACACAGGCATCACAACAGACGCCCCGTCGCCTGGTGGAAATCTTCGTGTGTCACAAAGCGCTGCCACCCTATCGGAAGCTTTAAAAGCCCAGGTTTTTAAGTAGTCTGTCTCCTTTGATGTGGATGCAGACTGACATCATTATTACCAGTGGTAGAAGGCCACGTCACTTGTGCTTGACATTACCGTGCTGCCGGGCCGCTAACCTGCAGGACAGCTGCATCCAACTTCTGCCAAGAACAAACACAAAACTTTAATGCTGTTGTTCTGTTTAATTTTTTTACACTAAAAAAAATGATTCATACAAATAAAAAGCCCTGGAGAGCAAGCACTGCTGACAGACAAACCGTGTTCAAAATGTGCTGCATCTGTTGAATTTGACCTTATAAGCGGCTCAAGAGGCCACATCTGCTCCAAAACTGCGCCGTTATTTTCTGGAAGCGACCTCCTCCCTCTGAACTGAGAATAAAAACCCAAGGTCAGCAAATGCCGTTATTTTTTATTTTTTTTATTTGTTGTGATTTCACAAGCATCGACTTTTGCCCGAGTCCACATTAACAAGCAAGTGCTGCCGTCAGAATCCCAGATAACGTGTGCATTAAGCTCTAATTTGATATCCAAAGCGTTATCAGAAACGCAGCCCGGGCACAATGCGATTTGTGGCATTTTTAAGCCACTTATTGTCTAGTTTGTCTTTTTCTTGCTTACTGCTCGGAAACCCGATCCTATCAGCTTGAGTCTCGACTTGCTTCACTCTGCTATTATAGCGGTTATTTTTAACTCCAAACAAAGCTGAACAGCCACTTACAAAGCAGAGCGGAGCCCAGTGAGAACTTCGGGATGAGTTCCACGCGCTTAGCCAAACCGCTACACCATGTTGTGGCTCCGTCATTCTGAAGCAGATGATGTGTCTGTATTTTGCAGGTTTGACTGAGGTAATGCCTTAAAGTATAGTTTTGCATTTTGACAAGAACCTGGATAACATTTTGAACTTGGCGAAGGTTATATGAGCAAACTGATACCAATCTCATAACTTCCATCCATCCAATATCTATACACTGCCTAATCCTCACTAGGGTCCTGGGGGGCTGGAGTCTATCCCAGCTGACTCAGGCTGAAGGCAGATTCACCTGGACAGGTAACCAGTCTATCACAGGGCTTAGAGACAGAGCACACTCACATTCACACCTACAGACAATTTAGAATCACCAATTAACCTCGAGATGTTTTTGGACCTTGTGGGAGGAAGCCGGAGAACCCGGAAAGAACCCACGCTGCACGAAGAGAACATGGAGACTCCACGCAGGGTGTCCTCACCGGGATGCGAACCGGCGACCTTCTTGCTGCAAGGCAACGGTGCTAACCACTGCTCCATAACTTGTACAGTAAATATGAATCGACTGTCAGCAACCATCAGCAGCCACCAGCTTCGGTTAGCACAGGAACCATACCCAGTCAGGGCACTGCTCCAACCACACTTCAGCATTTAATACACAAACACAAATCTAACATGCTGATCAGCTTAACAGATTTTGTTTCCCTTGAAGAGAGTCCGGGTGTCTGTTTGTGTTAAGCAAAGCTAATCAGCTACTGTCTGAGCCTCTGCCGGAAAACAATGTTTCTCTAAATGTCAAACAACAGCTCTAACGTTCAGTTCAGCCACGTGACAAATAACATATTTTCTCACTTGCCCCTTGTGAAATCTACCAAAGCCAATTGTGTTTATTTGACCATGCAGCTTTGCACAAACCTCGCCACAACATCTTTAGTTCCTCCCTGCCTCGATTAGGTGAGAATTTGTGTCAGACAAAGTTCCCTGAAACAAATGTCGAGTGCGCAGAATTTATGCGCTAAATAAATAGTTTCCTCCTGACGAAACGGAGCTTATTTCATGCTGATGTATCATGGAAAAATAGTTTGTTTTCACGGCAACTGCGAGCGCATGTGCTGTGTATGTACTGTATGTGTGAGTGTATAATTCCTTTCGCCCACTGCCCACAACAGCTGTCTGGTATTTTGAGGTTGGGGTGATTTAGCTATCACGGAACTGGGAAACTCCCACAGGGGCTCTGTGGTCATTGTAGTATCCGAACATATCCAGATCCCACTGATCCCAGTGGTCATCCTGTAGCCTGCTTTAAATAAACTTTCCTCATATTGGAAACTACAAACCCAGTGAAATACCCTATCGCTCTATTATCCACTGCACGCATGCCAGTGTGCAGGTCAAACAGAATCTGCGATGAGCACATTTGTTTTCACCATTTAGCTCACAAACTTGGATCGGACACTGCTCACTATTTTTCCAAAACCAGAAGTCGTGTTTTTCTTCATGTAACTAAACCTGTGCCAAGACTTTCCTCTCTCCTCGCTAATATCACTTTTACATCTGCCAGCCTCAGCCCCTGTCTCCCGCTGCCCACTAACCAGAAGCACTAAAAAACCTCCCTGTGGGCTTTAGCAAAACACACCATGAAACGAGTGTGTCGGAAGAACGGGAGTCAGGTGGGTGGAGGATCCTAAACAAGGAGCCTCACGCAGTTCAGAAAAAAAAAAAAAAGCCTCAGTGGGGTCACCAAAACATGCAGAAATGGAAATAAATACAGGCACACGCACTCATGCATGCGTAGAGAATCCATCAAACGGGGATTTGCATGTAAACATCTCCTTAGAAAAAGAAACTATTTTGGGTTGCTCAATACCAAACATCTATCACCAGCTGATTATACACGATTATGAAACAAGCCGTGCTGAGAGTGACTCAGCTGACAACAACACAAGTAGGCAAATCTGCCAGAGGAAACTCTCTTAATCACTGCAGCTGAACACAGCTGTGCTCTGCCCAGCCGTTTGCCACATTGACCGACGTTACAAATTGAAGGTATTATTTTACTGCACGGGAAGCGTGCAAAGCAAAATCAGACAGAGGGCAGAGGTTCGGTTTTGGAGTCTTGGAGACGCTGGATGGTATACGCATTACCACAGCCAGCGTGATTGACTCAAACATGACTCATGTCTTCCTGCAGCAGTTCAAGTGGTCATCGAGTGTAAACAGGCAGAGTCGAACTTTATCTCAGGGAGAATTCACTCACAACACACATTTAAAAGAGAGGCTTTTGCACAAAAGGGGATGTGTGCCAAGATCCAACAGCCCTATTAGGACTGCAACTGCCTCAATTCACCTCAAGGAATGTGTGGCAACATACAGCTATCTCACTTTGATTTCACCCAAAAAACAACTGCAGAGTGTCAGAGAATATATGAAGAGCATAGAGCCCCGTTTTAATGGGACCATAAACAAACCCACACAGGACAATCCCTCACTCTGTTTCTCATAACAAGAGTTGTAAAGACAATGATTGCACAAACTTGTCAGTGGTGTTTTTCTTTGCTGCGTCTGTAAAAAAAAAAGGATTTTACATCACTGTGCGTCTCTCTGTGAGACTTCTTTTACAAGTGTTGCTGAGTGCTTTCGCGCTCCTAAAGGATAGAGGAGAAGAGGGGATGGGGAGAGTGCTGATGCCGGCTTTTTTCAGAACAAAGAGCCGACAAGACGTTGTGCCAAACACAGAGATTGGGAAGAGGGAGAAATAGAAGAGCAGTGAAGGTAAAGTCATTGCCGTTGTCTTACCGTAGGGCCAGGCTGTCCCATGGGGTAAGGAGATGACAATAAAGAGGGAGATGAAGAGGAGCCAGCCCTCCTTCCCAGAGATAAAGGTGTTGGTCCAGAGGATTGTGTGGGTTCCCCCATGGGTTTGCCCCAGCTGCAGTCCCCGTCCCGCAGACAGCATGCTGCAGTCTGGAACTCTGTTTACTTTCTGAACTCAGCTGACATCACCTTCCCTCGGCCCTTCAATTCCTGCCCTCCCCCTCCCTCCATTTCTCTCTCTCTCGCTCTCTCTCTCTCTCTCCTTATCCCTCAGCTTCTCTCTCTCTCTCCCTCTCACTTCTCCTTGGCTTCAGGTTACAGCCCAGCCTCACAAGGAGTTCCACTTGCAGTGGTCTCCCAAAAACTCCCCTTCGCTGCACTCAAGAGGACGACGTCACTGCCCGTGAATGAAAAGCGAGCCCCAGTGTTTTATGCTTAACTCATTATGGTCCCACACACACACACACACACTCACACACACACACACACACACACACACACACACAGAGTGAAGGGAAGCACATAACAGCCAATTTATGTTCTACACTCTGTGCCTGCCGCAGTCATGATCAATGATGTGGTGATAGAATTTATGTCTGCTTCACTACTTGTGTGTTCATGACTAAAAAATCTTGAGGTCAGTGTTCTGACCTAACAAAGTGTGAAAACAGCAGCTGTGTGTAGTCTCACAGAGCAGCGCATGTTTAATGATAGCACTCAGTCCATAATGAATGTCAGATTAAAGTAACGCCACAAGTGTTTTTGCAAAATACAGAACACTTAGTGGCTTTCTTGCAAGGCGTTAGATACCACTGTAATCTCTGTCTGTGAAGTAAATATGAAAGTTAGCTTAGCTTAGCATAACTTAGCTTAGCTTCGCTTACAAATTGTAAATTAAGGGACGCAGCTCTGTTTGAAGGCACCAAAATTCCTAATACCTGCACCTCTAACGCTCAATAATTAGCGCAAAACAAATCTGTTGTGCAAAAAAAAAGAAGTCCAAATTAGCTGTTTTCATGTTTTGTATTAAGCTAACTTGCTGCTCACTTCAACTTGGCATCTACCACTGATACAGTGTAAGAGTGACATGAATCTTCTTTGAGTCCGGCCAAGAAAGTACATATTTTCCAACATGACATAAAACGCCTATAACTATCCTCACACAGGCTACACATGTCGGGTTGTGCTGACAGACCATTGTTGAGCCTTTTCCAGTAACTTTCCTCAATTTGATACCATGCGCTGATACATTTACACAGCCTACACACAATTTACACACATAAATAGCATGAAATGACATAATTAAGTTTCATATGACCCTGGAAATGTAGTTAACATCTTTCTCCGCATAACAGGGTGGAGAAAATGAATTTACACAGTTTAACCCTCAGTCCAAAACCTGCACTCGAACCTTTAAACGACAACAGAAAGGTCGCCAGTGAAAACACAGTTGCGCAATATCTTTGTTTACAATGGTTGTTATTTTGCATGATCTCTTGGGTGTGTTTTATTTCAGCTGGATGCAGTACTGGAATTAATTCATTTGTTATTCTTTGCCCACTGGGACGCAACACTGCATGCGAGAGCTATCGGGGAATACAGATCAAACGACTTAGTGCAGGAGAGTCAAATATCTCCGTTAGTTTCCGAAAACAGCAGGACTTAGACCGCGGAAAGAGCACATGAGCAGCGCTGTGCAGCCTGTGTAGGCTATGTGTTTGGTTAGGAAACTAAAAAACAGAGCGAAATCATGAGAGTTTATAATAAAGAAGAAAAAAAAAAGAATGAAAACAGCAGGACACAGAGGGGAAAAGGGAAAATCAAGGGAGGAGAGAGGGAACAGGAAATATTGTCTGCCTCACTGCGCTTTCTATCCACCTTTCACCACCTCTCTACTGTTTGTCCAGATGCCTAATAGTTTATTATGTGAAACTCAAGGCTTTTAAGTTAATGTGAACACTTACTACAGCTGCAGTCTACACTGTCTGCAAAGAACACAAAGCAGACTGTGGTGTTCATCTTTGTATTTTCACCTAAGGAAAATATACAGCTTTTGATGTGCCTTGGAGTTGTGCACTCATACATTTTCTTTATTCTATTCAAATATGTCGTTTGTGAAATCCATCCATCCATCCATTATCTATATACCGCTTAATCCTCACTAGGGTTGCGAGGGGGGCTGGATTCTATCCCAACTGACTCAGGGTGAAGGCAGGGGACACCTGGACAGGTAACCAGTCTATCACAGGGCTACACTTAGAGACAGATAACCAAGCACACTCACAATCACACCTACGGACAATTTAAAATCACCAATTAACCTCAACATGTTTTTGGACCCTGTGGGAGGAAGCCGGAGAACCCGGAGAGAACCCACGCTGCACGGGGAGAACATGCAAACTCCACGTAGAAAGATCCCGGGTGTCCTCATTGGGACACGAACAGGTGACCTTCTTGCTGCGAGGCAACGGTGCTAACCACGCTTCACCTTGCAGTCCCTGTTTGTGAAATATTAGCCCAAAATTTTTAATGCACAGCTCACATCGTAGTTTTCGTGGTATTTGAAATTGTCAACATGTGAGTACCATAGACTGTATAAGAAAGATGAACGTAGCTACCGTGATGTCATCCATTGGTTTCTGCACTGAGAAAATGAAGCCAGAGTCTTGCTACTTCCTGGTCTTGGATTTTTGGAGCCAGAGATGAAAAAAAGATTGTGAGTGGGCGGAGCCGGAGAGCAGTGATTGGTCAGACTGACCAAGAGCCAAGGACTCCCTGCCCATCCGCATTTACCAGCTTCTGCTGTATTTACCGACGCTGCTGCTAACAACGTTAGCCTCCATAAGTGGAGCTAAACTCTACAGGTGAGTGTTAAAGTCGTCTCAGTAACTGGTTGTTTTCTGTCCACATCTAGACAATATTACATATAAAAACAGCGACCTGCATTACTGTAGCTGAAGTTACTGTAAGTTAACATCAAACTGGAGCCTCTGATGGTGAAACATGATCTGACATCTTGTTGAAAAGTTGTTCTGTAAATCTGAGGTTCTGTTTCCCGACTAGTTAACACTGATGTCAGCGTCATAAATGAGTTACCTGTTGTCTGTGATTAAGTTTCCTGTAGGTCACATCTGATCAATCATAACAGATCAATGACGTCATTACAGTCTGCTGCCGTCTCATGGCAGACAGGAATGATCAGCAGAAACTAAACCAAGCCAACGTTACACCACAGAACACATTGATGTTAATCTCTCAGTTCGATGGATGAAGCTCAGTTCAGTTCATGTCTCTGTTCTCTGGTTTTTAACAGCGTCTGTTCATTTCACTGAGACAAACATCTGTCTCACTGTTCAGAAACAGTGAAGCTACTGAGGTCTGATCACATGACATGAGCATCACCGTGAACCATAGAGGTGAGTCATAGAGACTTTCTGTTATTCAATATAAATCAGTCCAGCAGATTGTTTTACTCTCCACAGCAGTGTTTTATCAGATAACTGAGGAGCTCATGTAATCAGTGTTGGTTTTCCTTTTTCTCTATCACTCACATTATCATACTTTGGAGTAAAAAGAATAAACTTTATTGTCAGTAAAATGTTCCTTGGCCTCGCCCAGGGAAACAAACATTTACTTAAGATTAAAAAACATGTCAAAGACATCACACTTTCTGTTGTCCTACAGTCGTATCCTGCTCTCATATTTAATGTTCCAGCAGTTGGAATTAAAGAACCTTGTAGATCTTTTTCTTACTGGTCGTGTCTTTTCCTTCCAGCCATGTTGTGGATCATTGCGTCTGATGTGATCTAAGCTACAGAGAACATGAACTTTCAGCTGAGGTTCTTTCTTCTACACTCTGTGGTGAGTACTGGAGATGAATACTATGTCCAGCAAGTAAACGACACCGTCCGGTCCAGTACTTCCCAAAAGCTTTCCAAAAACACATCCCATTTTCTGCCTTGTGACAATATTTTGTCCGATAATCCAACGGGTTTACGAATGGCTTTGTTGGCCTAAGAAGTAGGATAATATTTCCAGCCCAATAAATACAGTCCATGCTTACAGGACCAAACAGAACGACCTCTACAGCATGCCCAGGACAATTCTGTCAGTGATGGGAGCCACAGGTGTTGACAATAATCATTCTACAGTAGATGTGATACCAGGAAAGCTAATTCTGTGCATCTCTGTAGTCACATGTGTAATTCTGTGCTCCGATCCTACTCTGACTTGAGTAAACATATCTCAAGCATGGCAAAGCTGCTTTGTGGGATTATCTGCAGCTTTTCCCTCTTTGTCAAACCTTGCACAAACTATTGGTTCTAGTGGGGCTGATCTGAAACCGCTGTTACAACTTCGGCTTTTCCTCAAAAAGGAAAATAAAGAGATTTTTGGGGGGTACTTGGTTCCCACTGGACAATAACGAAACAATGTCTGACAACATCTGGCAGTTCATAATAAAACTCTATTAGCTGATGTGTCGTTGTCTTGTTGTCATCAGTATCTGTTTAGCCCATTAGACTCTGGAGCACTATTATTGTGGTCAGCTTGCCAAACAAAGAGAAAACCTGCTGATACCTACATCCATCATGTTGCTGTAGTGGAGACGTCTTCACAAAGGGAAACATTTTCTCATGACCCACAGATCATGTTGATTCTGAGCTGCATTATAAAGGGGCTCTCGGTTGGCACCACAATGACTGCGGTTGGTCAAAGTGAATGGGCCCCCTGCCCACAGCGCATAGTAAAAGCTCATTACCAAGTACATGAAGAAAGTGGTGCAGTTGGGGGCACAACACATTACCTAGGGTCATTACATTTAATGACAGGCAGGGAGAAAAGGGGCACTGTTGACTACACATTTGTTACTGAAGGGTTTTCGGGAGGCTATTTGTAAAAGTAAGCACAGTCTCAAAGTGGTGTCTGATCAGTTCATTAACCACAACTTTGACTTGTTTGTGTTGCGTTTGAAGTCCCGGGCTTCTCACGGGATCAGACAAAATGAAGGTGTCTGACTGCGGAGTCATGTGGTTTTAATTTGAAGGAATCTAATTGTGGCATCACATTCTGTTTCCATGGTTACACAGTGGACACGGAGTAAACATCATTGCCATCTTTTTCCAACAGTCGACCATCTCACTC